CTTGGGAACATTTCATATACCTACAGACTAGGATAGCATGCTCTGTTTGCTCCCACACAACCATATACCTTCACTTCAGAGTACTTTCCTCAATTAAATATGGCATTTATTCACATAATTAATTTTATCAGTCCCCTCTTGATACAGATCTGTGTTTGTTCAATGCTGAGACTCCACTGACAATGGAATACTTGACAGATGTAGCAAATGCAGATGTCCAACATACAGTTATGGTCCCTCTCTATTCACTGCCTCTCTTACTACAGAAGCCTCTCAAGATGAAATCAGTCTTGTTTTTGCCTCTATTGCAAACTTGATCAAAAACCACTGTGGGATTTCTCTCTTTCCTTCCCACCATCAGACAATATAAGATTATTATGGCTAAGAGTCCCATGAGCTGTTATGTTCTCTGTCAGAATTTTCATAAAAACTCAGTGCTGCGAGTGGGTAATGACATGGAGCATTCTGTGTTTATGAGTTTATGAACAGGTTAGTTGTATGTAACATTCTTCCAAAGAAAACTAGGGACAGGAGTGGAGTCCACCAGGGTGGTATTTGTCTTTCTGGAATTCTGAAAGATCATATCTAGTCTACTTTGAACCAAAAGCACAGACAAAAGTGTAAAATATGTTACACTTGCCACTGGTGAGAGACCCAGGCTCCACAGAGATGATCCCCCAAACTCTTTGAAAAAGAACTTTTTTAGAAGTAGACATTTCACCTTCTCTACCTCTAAGGAGACATCAAAATCAATACATACAAGCAGCTGTTGAACTCCCCATCTGGCATAGCTATCCAAAAGAGAAGACAGAAGCATTGCATTGAACACTTCACTGAAAAATGTCATTTGTATTAAGTCTAATTGAGCTGACATGACTTCTCCGAACTCCTTCATTGTTTAGGTAGAATGTCCATACATGCATTCATATGAAATTTCTTTGCCTGTTTCACATTAGGCAACCACTGCTCTTGACTCCTGGGATTTGGGATATGGAGCAATGAGCGCAAATGAACCAATTAAAAAATCTACATTCTGGAAGCAGAACAATTGTAAACATAGTGCAGAATATGTTAGATGATGGTTTTATAGGAATGAAGAACTTACAGCACAGATAAAGAACAGGAAATAGTGGGGGAGGAGAATTATATATCAGACAAAGTGGACAGAGATGGGCTCTTAAAAAACAGCTTCTACTTCCTTCTATTTTAATGAGAAATCCAAAGACTTGTGTTGTTTCTGACCAGGGAAATATTCTATCATCTTTCTCTATGCCCATAACTTTTTAACAGGTGTGTCCAACTTGCAGCACATAGGGACTCCTCACACATAGGGCTATGTTTATGAATGTGGTAAATCATAAAATTGTATACTTACATAAAATACTCTGTTTTTATAACTCAACATGAAATTCTTGAGTGAGAACTTTGTACATGACAATATGGAGTAACAATATTAAATAGTTGGATACCCTCTGATTAAATAAAGTAATGCCCCTCCTATTCTACACTGGCTCAATGGACTGAATACCAGGAGCCCTTACTCAATCACCCCATTCTGATCCTAATAAACCTGGAGTAGAGAAGGCAGCAACTTTTGGCTCCATGGTCTTGTGCCCAACCAGAAAGAGAGTTATCAGGGTTTTGTTGTTGCAGTTGTTTTGTCTAAGATATCTACTACAACTGTTCACAAAACACACAAACTTAAGAACCAAATTATAAATATAATTACTTCATGACAAATATCATGCAGTTAACATTTGGCTCACTTTTAAATTCCTGTGTTTGCACAATCCTCAAAAAGCTTAAATAATTTTTCAAGGGTTAACACCCAGAAAATGACAAAAATCAATGTTCAAAGCTCTGGAGTCTATTTCTAAAGCTTAGGTCCTTCCTCCACACCTAGCTGCCACCAATATGTAAAAGCAGCCGTTGGATAATACAAAGGTGTATGTGCAATCCCACAGAGCCAACTGCTCAAAAGCTGGCTCTGCTCTTGAGCTTGAACTCAGCCTACTAGGTCTGAGGCCCCCAACATAGCGACTGGCAGGAGGGCTTTTTAAAGAGCAGGTATGCTCATAGGTAACTAATGCTTCTCAGCTGGTTCCTGGGGAGAAGCTCCGTAGTGAAGTGGTTTAAAGAGTCAAATGTAGAAGACTGTGCATAAAGATAAAACACCAGTGAGCGCCCCGAGCCCCGATGTGGATCGTCCCTGCACTCAGCCTGACACGTAATCTAAAGCAGTCACCTAAAAAGATTTTCAGCTTTACAAAAGTCCACAATACTAAAAATTAAGGCTGTCATATTTTAGGAGCAACTTGATTTAAAGGGAAATACATGTGATTGAAAATATTTGCATCAAAATTCTAAAAAAAAAAATGTTAATTGTGACTTAACAATTGTTTTGGGAAGAGGCCATAGTATAGAGCAGGCAGGAGAACTAATTCACATGCAGTGTCTGTTACTGAGAGACTCAAGAGCATGTTGGCGATTTCAAACTCCTGAGGTTCACTGGGATTTCTGTCATTCAAAGAAGCAAGACACCTCAAGCATTTGTAAATCACACAGGAATCCTGAACGTCTGGCTATTTGACTCTGTCACTTGTACTTCATTTTAGAAATGGAGGCAGAATCAGCTCTCAGATTCTAAATTTAAAAAAAGCTGGTTTAATTACTTTTTCTATTCAGATAAAAATGGAGTGCTCTTCTGGGTACAATATATTCAGTTATTTATATTATGCGGGACACGTCTTAATTGATATACCGTCATAACAAGGTAGCTATGAGGAGCAGGGAGGAATCATCCATCCATTAACTACATATGCATGTAACTCCAGAATTTTATATGGGCTGAAAATTGCTTGCCTTAGAGCTGGTTAAAGAAAATTTGAATATAGAGAAGAGGGAATGCATAGACTTTGTATCCTGTACTCAAAACTCAAGTGCAAATTATAAACTCCAGGTGCTTAGTTACTGAAATATAATATGATATGATGGTTGAAATTATGATCTTGGGAATTCCCACCAAGATTTAATCTCATATAGAACATTTACTTGTTCCATATTCATAATTTGGTTTATTAATTTATCTAAGCCTCGGTTTTTGCATTTAAAGAAATGATAAAGCTAATCAGGAAGTCTGTATTGAGAAAGAGCAGGGCCAGATGCAATTTGGAATTCAGAACTCCCATTTTTAGAAGCATATTAAAGCATATAAACTATAGAGTAAGTAACAACCTCAGCAGGGTCCAGGGCAGCACCCTGTAATCAACTACATTAACATTTCTCCAATGAAGTATAGGAACAGCCATTGGAATGGGATACATTATGACTATAAATAGCCTCAACTTACTTTTGCTACCAGAGTTTATATATATATAAATATATATATAAACTTTTATATATATATATATATATATATATATATAAAAACTTCAAGGAATTTTTTTTCATTTTGATTTAAGAAAAGGGGATCATAAATCTGTTTTAGTGCACATATTTTATACGTGTTTGTGCACAGACATGAATACAGACATACATATGCACCTATGCATTCATATGTGCCAACAAAGTAATTTTATAATAGCAATTAATTCATAGTAAACAATATTGACCAGAATATGAATTATTGGAAGACAAAGATCCCTGCTTTAGGAGGATAGTCCCAAGTGCCTGTACCCAGTGCCTGGTACGTAGGTAGGACTCCAGAAAGCCCAGTGAAAGGTGTGATATCTCCACACCTCCTCCATCACAAGCAGGAATAAACATTTCAAGCACCTGAAAAGAGAAACAAACCTGGAGGAGGCTCTATAGTTACGCAAGGCGACAGAGCAGAGCAAGGGAACCAAAAGTGCCTAGTGAGACACAGGAGTTAAGTCTCGAAGATCTGTGTTTTGAGCCCTGCTACATCCCTTTTAAGTCACTGAGTTTGGGAAAGGAGTAACATGTGATTCATTTCTAAATCTTGTTTATCGGGAACATCAGCCATTGTTAGGTGCATTGTTAGAAACCTCTTTTTTTAACTTCTCCTTTTTGAGACTTGGTTGTCTTGTACCCTGGTAGTAGAGGATGGCCTTAAACTCCTAATCTTCCTTCCAAAAGGGCTTATCATTTTGTACCACCACACCTGGTTTACATGACACCATGGATCAAACCTTATGGGTTTCTTATGTGCAGTGCTAGGAAAGAATTGCTACCAACTGTGCGATAACATCAGCCCATCCCCAGAATTCAAACTATGACAATACTGAATGTCAAAATGAGCAAACACTTACAAATGATTCTGAGGAGTGAAGATGTTTATGTCTTTGAAGTACTGTAATACAATTCTGGAAAACCAGGAGCCAGTGTCTACCTGAAGAACTTTTGATATAACAAAACAAATGTAAACCCAGTGTAACATACAGGCAAACACAGGTGCTACTGAACTAAAGTTTTCCTTCTGAGTATTTGATTGCATTTGGCAACGACAGAAATGATGTCCGGTGAAGTGAGCACCAATGCCTTTTCCAGCACTTTTGTTACAAACACTGCTTTGTTCTTCCTAAGGACTGAAACAGCAATCAATGAAATGAAATGAAAAGTCTACCTGTAAATTGAGATATATAACCTTAAATAAAAGACAGCTTTGGTGATAGGAATTCAAACTGGACAAAAATGGCCTTACAACTTCTTAGTGCTAGATCCAAATACCAGAATCTAGAGAAAGGTTTGACAAAAGAGATCTCACATAAGTAAGAAAGCACTCTGCTTGTTTATGCATTATCCAAGGAGTCTGATGTCTCGGCCAACGGTGGCAGTGATATGGAAAGTAACATTTCCTAAAGGAATGTTTTAAACTGCGGGATTATTCATACTTCTAAAGAAACCAACAGGTTAGCTCACTAACCATCTGGTCTAAAGGATTTACAGTTAAGTGTTATGAAAAACTGTGTGGAGTCTGAAATGAAACATTTAAAGACCAGGAACAGACCCTGAAATGGGAGCTTAAAAATGAGGCTTACCCGGCCAACGAGAATCGGTTCAGGTCCAGAAAATTCTTCCAGGACAAACATTTGATTCCAAACCCAGCCTCTTTTGGAGCGGTTCAAAATCCGCAGTTCTTCACTCTGCCTGCTTAGTTCCAAAGGGGATCCAGTGGTTAAAGCATAAGCTTGATTCATCGGAGCCATGTACACACAAGTGGGGAGGGTAATCCATAATATTATTAATGGAGTCCAGAGGTCCACGAGCGTCTCAGCTAGCCTTTCTGGCATGGTCCCACCAGTTAAGCAAATCAGCGCGAAAATGAGACAATTATTATTTTTGCCTCGGGTCTGAAGCCATCCAATTCATCACGTAGTGTGGAGCAGTTACTTACAGCTCTGCCACGTGTTCAGAGAACCAGGAAACAGACATGTCTAAGCATCCTTTCAAAGACCACGATCCATTGGCTTTCCTTTTCATTGAAATTTCCTGCACAGACAAGAGGGAAGAAAAATGAGACCCCACAGAAACTGGTGTTAACACAAACAAACCAGGGCTTTTCAAAGGCACGTTAAAGTGAACATTTCATAGCCAGGCTGTGGTGGCGCACGCCTTTAATCCCAGCACTCCGGAGGCAGAGCCAAGCGGATCTCGGTGAGTTCCAGGCCAGCCTGGTCCACAGAACGAGATCCAGGACAGGCACCAAAACTACACAGAGAAACCCTGTCTCTCTGTGTAGTTGATAATGAGCACTTGCCAAACTCTTGAATACAGAAAGTGGACTCCAAGAACCAGAATGAGTAGGCTAGCAAACCCACAAACCCGTTTATATGCAAGCATCATTTAGATTTTAGCATTCATTCCAGACCATGTCACTTGGCAAGAACTACTTTAAATAACAAAGTGATGATCTTAACAGATAAAACCCCTTCTTTCTCTGGTTGTCACTTCTTCCTCATGTCATGCCTGTCCCCCTCCCCCTCCCAGCTCCTTCATCCTTCTCCCTGCCCCTGTCTTATATTCTCAGCAATACTATTTGGGGTGAGTATCAACTACAACCCTTCTCCCTCCTCCTTTTGTTCATCTTCATCAACTTGTTCAAAGAAAGCTGCACTTCATTTTAAAGGAACTGGCCCTTAATAAGTAAACAAAATACTTTTAAGTTCAACACACACACACACACACACACACACACACACACACACACACACCGACATGGGCATGAAGATAGGAAGGGATTCTTCCCAGTTTTCATAGCCATGACTAGCAATTCCAGTTAGGAAGGTCTCAAGGAATGCAAGCTGCTAATAACGAAGGAGTAACATTAGAGTTCTTCCAGAAGGAATTCTCTAATGTCCAGCATGGACGCTATGAGAGCAGCAGTGTCACAGCTCCCCAGCTAAATGTACCATTGAAGGGGAGATTTCAATGATGAAAAGCCCCTTTGGGAATGAAGTATGGTAAAATTACAATCTTCGATAGAAGGGATTCAGAGAGGGAGAGGATAAGAAAAAAAAATCCTTATTACCTGAGGTGTCAAATACATTTTTTTGCTTACCTTCAGCATAACAAAATGTGTTTCTTCCCACTCAAAAAAATTATTTTTAAAGAAATGATGTTCACTGCAGATCCCTGAGAAAAGCCTGACTGAATTAGATTAAGTGGAAAAATAATTCCTGGGGACACTATCTGGTACAGTTTGGCCCAGGGAATTCATAATAGGATACAGAACCTTTCACCTCTAGGTCCCTGGTTCCATTCTGACTCAGAATGAGAAAGCAAGGACATTATTAACATTGGTTGGGCTGACGAGTGGCCTTATTGGAGCCAGCTGAAAGGTGCAGACATTCTGTCACAAACAGCATGGTTTCTGAGCTAACTAGTTGGCCTATGGCATGGTCTTCCTTGTCACCCTTTGCATGGGCTCAACCCAACACTGGGACTTACACATGAAAAGGATTCAACCCTGATGAATGCACAGGGCATCAATGCTAGTAGCAGCTATTTAGGTGATACAGAAATGTCAATATAAGATCAACCCAGAGGAGACACTCCAAAAACAACCTCTCCTGTGCTTAAAATTGCTGTACCATTAGGGAGAAAGAGTCTTCCCCAAGTTAAGATATTATTCTATCTCAGGGCATTGAGACTTCAGAAATGGCCATTTAAATCCAAAAGGACACCATTAAAGAGTTCTAAACTCTATTATGTCAGCTGTCTGTCTTCATTTACAAGGCACTTGCAAGAAGTGCAGAACATGCCATGCTCCCTCTTAGATATGTAGTGGGGAGTTATGCTGAAATAGTGTTAGGGTACAGTGGACAATACGTTCTAGATAGATCTAGATAGATAGACAATACAAGCCGATAGATCTGGTCTTCAATTCTAGATTACCCCATTTATTACCACTGTCTGATGGATAGAATACTGAGCTTGCCTGAACTTCAGACTTCTCATCTGTAAAACAACAACACAATGACGCCTAATTTACAGAGCTGTCATGTTTATGGCTCAGAACTAACACATAAAAAGAGCAGCCAAAACATGGGAAGTATTCTCAATATTGTAAGAGAAGTAGTTACTTGAGTCACACCCTAGGGGTAGTGGTAGGAAAGACAAACAATTAAAGATGAAAACTTCATGAATTCTTCAGTATGGGTAGACAAATAATAGTGGCAGCAAAGAAAGACTCTCTAAGGTGATATGATAGTCTTAGGACAAAGATGATGCTGACCAGGGTGGGATGGAGGAAAGATAAAGGTGAGAATGATGAGGATGGATGTCATGTTGCTAAGGACAGGACGGTTGGGGAACTGAAGGTAATGTTGGGTTCTGGGAGAACAGAACAGAAGCAGGATGGAGACCTGAGGGAAGGAGAATGGAAGTGATTCTCAAAATGTCAAGGAAGATTAAAAGTGACACTGGTGAGGATGAAGGTGATGCTGGTGAACATAGAATGGAAGGTGTGTGGAGATGATGCTGATGAGGGAAGGATGGAGGTGATATGAAGAAAAGGAAGGATAGAGGTGATGCTGGGGAGTGCAGAAAGGATTGAGGATGCCCCGGGGAGGCCTAGAAAGGAGAGAGATGGAGGGGCTGTTGAGGAGGGATGGATGGGCTAAGTTTCTACTCATGGCACCTCAATCTAAACTCTTCTCAAGGAAAAGAAACCTTTTCTTCTCTAAACATAGTCTGCTCCATTGCAAGCTGGACCTGAATGATCAAAAGCCATATATGATGCTCTCCTGTGGCGTGAGATCCACAGGTACAGAAGCGGGCTGTGAGAACAATTTTGAGTGTTGACTTGTTTGGAGTTTGAACTCTAGACCTCACACTTACTGTCTCTGCACCTGTTTATTAATGAATCACAAGAGCCAGAAGAACAATGGTGGCAACAGTTTGGACCCAGCAGGTTTGTTCTGTGGACCAAAGCAGTTAGGATAAGCTTACACACTCTGGTCTCTTCAGTCAGACTGCACGATCTGCAAAGCATTGTGTGAATGATGTTAAAATAAGAAAGTTAATCCTGATTTAAATCCACACCAGATAGTTCCTGCCCAGAAACTGCTCAATGACACTCAGAATGGAATGTGACCTGTCAGAGACCTTTGCCTGAGACTGACAAACTCAGATAAAAATCCAACACAGACCCCTACACATTTTAAATATTGCCATAGCTTCATTAATTAGAACAAATATATAATAGCAGAAAGCTTTACAGTCAAAATTTTATTCATTATCATAAAAATGTAAAACTTTGCAGCTTGTACTGAGGAAGGGGGGAATCATTAAACATCTTGGTTAAGGAAAACCCTTCAGTAAAGGCAGCAGCATTATTTGAACCTGGGTTGCATAATTCTAACATTCTCTTTCTTAAAATGGCTCCTCCTTTCAGATAAATTTTTGATGCACATATACTATTTGTCAGACAGAGGAGATAGAACAGCAAGTAGGTCAGAGATTCTACCTTCATGAAGCAAAGAGTGCAGCTGGCAAAAATGAGGAAATGCACAATTTGCACAGTTACTACTTTTGGAGAAGTAGAATCTTTGGAGGGCTAGAGGTATAAACACATAGCATAACACTCTACTTGATAATGTTAAAGAAAGCTTTCTGGAGCCAGATATGGAGGCACAGGTCATTGATCCCAGCATTCAGGAGGCAGAGGCAAGCTGATCTCTGAGTTCGAGGCCAGCCTGGTCTACAAAGCCAGTTCAAGGACAATCAGGACTGTTAGATGAAAAAAAAAAAACTGTGTGGAAATTAACAAACAAAAAAACACAAAAGAAAGAAAAGAAGGAATGGAGGGAGGGAGGGAAGGAGGGAGGGAGGGAGGAAGGGAAAGAGAAACAAGCTTCCTGGAAGAGGTGTTATCTATGCTATTTATTAATAAGTGTTAAAGAGGAGGTCATTGTAAAGGGCATTTGAGTTAAACAATGTAAACAAGACAACCAAAGCTATCCAAGGACTTCTGAATAATTCAGCATCTAAAGTCATTTCAGATTACTACTTACAGTATCAACTTGTCAATAGGTGTTACTCAACAAATTTATACTGGTCATAGTCTCTATAGCATCCTTCAAGTAGTTTACCTCCTGCCCTATAGGCTCTGTGGAGAGGTTGTGTTTGATTTCTGCAAGGGGCTTGTGCACTAAATATGTATGACATCTAGTAGGAAGAAGGTGCAACTTCTCAATTTTCAAAAGGAAGGGAAATATAATTTGTCTGATGCCCATGAATTGCTGGCAGAACTCTGGAGAAAATAAATCCATTCAGTGGACACCTTTCATCCACATCATTTATTCTCTCAACACTGCATGGAATGTCTAGGGACTTAAACATTCAGGTATAGTCTAGTTGTTCTTTTTTTCCCCAAATTTTTGAATTACTTATATTAGTGTAATTTAATGAAATTGACTAGCTTTTTATTCATTTAAAATAGAAATTCAGCCTGGATGTGGTGGCACATGTCTTTAATCCCAACACTCAGGAAACAGGCAGAGAGATCCCAGCTCCAGATCTAAACCCAGCCCGATATGCATTGCATAGAGCGTTCAGACAAGGCTATATAGTAAGACCCTGTCTTAAAAAATAGATGGGTGGGGCCCAGACAGCAGTAGTGCATGCCTTTTTATACCAGCACTCAGGAGGCAGAGCCATGTGGACCTCTGTGAGTTTGAGGCCAGCCTGCTCTACAGAGCAAGATCCAGGACAGGCACCAAAACTACACAGAGAAATCCTGTCTCAAAAAACCAAAATAAAAAAAAAAAAGATGGGTGGATGGATAAGTAGGTAGATAGATAGATAGATAGATACATACATACAACATACATACATACATACATAAATATAAAACCTAATATTACAACCAGGAGGTGGTGGCTCACATCTTTATTACCAAAACAAAACAAAACAAAAAAGAACCCAAGTACAACAACAGCAACAAAGCAACAAAAACAAAAATTCCACTTATTATCATTTTTTCCAGA